ACTCCAAATCTGAATTGCTTGACTAGAAATACTGTCATGGAAAGACCTTTTTTTTAAAAAAAAAAAAAAAAAAAAAAATGACCAGTAAGGGTATCTTAACACTTGACTTGGTGTTGTCAGCACCACACTCAGCAAGTGAGCTAACCAGCCATCCCTATATGGGATCTGAACCCGTGGCCTTGGCGTTATCAGAACCACACTCTCCCGAGTGAGCCATGGGCCGACCGAAAGACCTTATTTTTTACCATTTGTTTGCTTTTTTATTGGGGGAGAGGGGAATGCAGGTAGATGCTTTTGCCTTCGAAACCAAAAATCTGACCCTCAGAGCCCACTAACTTGGCCCCTCCACAGAGGTCCTCCCTCCCCTATGTTATCTGCTGGGAAGTTCAGTGCATGCACCTTCTCCCCAACTCACACACTTTTCATACATCACATCCAAGAAGGAATAAAGGGACAAGAACTGTTACCACCCTTCTTGGAGGATAAATCACTTATTTCGTGATAAGTGAACATCAATAGAATAGGCTGGTCTAAAAACTGGTTTACACTACATCCTACCACGTGTGGCTGTTCGGCCTTCTCCCATTTGCTCTAGCTATGGGATACCACTTTGCTTTCTCCCACTGAGAGAACCATTCCCCCTTTCCCTCCAAAGTCCACTAGCCTAGACTGGCTGAAACTGATTTCAGATGATTTGGCAGCCGACTAGCAAGTCAAGAAATCAAGACTGACTCACAAGCTCTGAGAATAACTTAATATCCTTCCATTACGAAGACAGTTGGAAAGACTGCTCAAATTGTGTGTTGTCTTAAAGAAAATTTAAAGGCAGCTGTGGGGGCCGGCCCGGTGGCGCTCCCGCCGAGGGTTGGGATCCCACATACAGACCGGCCGCTCACTGGCTGAGCGAGGTGCGGGTGCAACACTGAGGGTTGCGATCCCGTTGCCGGTCAGTAAAAAAGACAAAAAGGAAAAAAATAAAAGATTTTTAGAAATAAAAATTGGGGGGCCGGCCCGGTGGCGCACTGCTACAGTGCGCCACTTGGGGGCGTGGCGACACTCCCGCCGAGGGTTGGGATCCCACATACAGACCGGCCGCTCACTGGCTGAGCGAGGTGCGGGTGCAACACTGAGGGTTGCGATCCCGTTGCCGGTCAGTAAAAAAGACAAAAAGGAAAAAAATAAAAGATATCTCCAGGTTTTAGTTCACACTAGGGGAGGGAAGAGCAGAGGAAGGAGATTCCTAGAGCCACGTTTCCCAAAGGGCATCTTACAATAACGTTGTCTCCTGAATGCTCTTAGGGAGGTGGAGGTAAGATCTGTGTAAGGCATTGTGCTAGGGCTAGAAAGGCCACACCACCAAAATAGCTACAGACTTACCCACCCTCACCAACTAGAGTCACAATGAAAATCAGCACATTACAACTTCTGAAAGTCCCACAGTAAAGAAAAATGTTTCAGAAACATAATTATGGAACCACCATAACTAATACACTTGCTTTAGAACTGTGCTCTCCAAAACGGTAGTACTAGCCATACGTGGTTACTGAGCAGCTGAAATATGCCTACTATGAACTGAGATGGGCTGTAAGTGTAAAATACCTAATGGATTTCAAAGGTTTAGTATGAAAAAAGAATGTTAAAATATCTCAGTGTTTTAAATTGATTATATGTTAAAATAATAGTGTTCTAGGTATATAGGTTTAAGTAAATTAAAATTAATTTCGTCTATTTCTTTATACTTTTTTTTTTTTTTTGGCCAGTACAAGGGTCTTAACCCTTAACCTTGGTGTTAGAACACCACCCTCTAACCAGCTGAGCTAACCAGCCAGCTCCATTCTTTATACTTTTTAAAATATGGCTACTAGGAAACTTAAAATTACATATATGGCTCACATATTTCTATTGGATAATGCTCCTTGAAAAAATGCTAACCTGAAACACGGGCTTAGAAACTTCATATATATCTTATTATCTTGGTACCTACGCCATATTTGTTTTTCACCTGAAAGAGATGTCCTATAGCACAGAACTTGGGAATAATTTAAAACAGATGAAAAAAGCATCTGGACATTCTAACCAGGATTCATAAGATAGCCCACTTAATATGTACTTCCAAAGGTATCAAGGAATGAGGGATATATTTCCTACAAAAAAAAGAACACCTTTCCCTATTGTTAATAATCACTTAGATATTTATGTAACTACAGAGAACTGTTTCACTTTGCTTTTTGCTCCATGGCTGGATCTGTAAAGTTACTCCTAAATACCATGCTAAAGACTGAATAAATTTGGGGTTTCAGTAACTGAAATCACCATGCACACCCAGTACAGGTGAAGACAGATGTTCCTTCAGGGATTGCTCACAAGGGTGGTGCACACTGGGTTATATTTTTATTGTTCTACAGTAGATTCCAGTATCTTTCACTCACTACATGACTTGGGGCCAACCACTTCACCTCCTATTTCCTGTGGAAGGGCAACAGGTATGTGAATGTCTACAGTGCTTTAAGAAGCATGTGGCACAGACTGCATAATTAAGTTACTATTTACTATACTATTCAACTCACAAAAGGGAGTTGGTAAAACACTACCAGAGCACTAGTTATGTGACTGAACAAGTAACCCTCACTGAGGTGCGCTTCCTTAGTTTTAAAATAGGAATAACAACATCCATCTTACAAAGGAATCTGATGATCATACAAGGGTAAGCTGAATGTCCAGCATGTTGCCTGGCACTAAGGAAGCACAACCTTCTCTCCAGACTCTTCTCTGTGCTTTGGGCTCCAGCCCTCACTGCCTTAAACTTAGGGGTTGTACCTAAAATTGAGAGGCTATATGTCGTCAGTTGTTATAAAGTAAAATTAAATTACTAAAAGCTCAGAAAATCTGTCAAGACTATGACAGGGAGTAGGCTTTCCCCTTTCTGGATTTTCTCCTCAGAAGTGGTAATTCACTAACACCAAGTTTCCACTGTAAAGTGGCTATTGTGTCCAGTTTCCTGGCATCTTTAAGAAAGCAGGCTAGGGTCACCCACACACAAGGGCCAGTGATGGGTTTCTCAGGGCTCACAGAAATCTACTTGCTCTAGCAGCTACTGTCCTCCATGGAAATGGCTCAACTGTAACGTGTCCTATCCTTTCATTATTGAGGCCCCATTCCTGTGCCTCGCCCATCTCAGGCCCTCAAATAAAATCTTCCTTTGCTGGGAACAAAGATGGCTGCCTCTCCTCCCTCAGATGTGGCATCTCGATTTGCAAGAAACATGATCCTTTTCTCACACCCTCAGACCAGGGATCTCTCTCCTTTCTCAATTCTGTGGAATTTCTCTCTTCCCAATTACCCTGTCAGCCTCCCAGAAAGAGCTAAAGGGAGAAAATTTGTGAGATTTAGAATTACATAGTATTCTTAACTTTTTCCTCTGAGTAGTTGAACCTACTATTATAATACACTAAAGTTGCTGAAGTAATACCAGGACCACATACGCTTGGACTAAATAAGTATGCAACAAGCAGAGATACACTTGGAATACTAAAGTTCTTGGATGGATTTCAAATGTATCATAGGCAATAGGAAACTTAAAGTCTTTCGATGTTTTGGCCCAAGCTGTTCAGAAAACATTGGTATTTCCAAGTGTCTACATAAATCAAGTCCATTACCAAGTTATCTACCTCTGTATTACAAGGCTATGGGGTTGAAAAGGGTCAGAGGTCTGGTTCACCCAGAACCCCAATCTGTGTGCCAAAGCATGTGGGGGAAACACTGAATCTCTCAGCTGTTGGGACAGCTGAACAAACTTCCCATATAAAAGCAACTAGTTTCTTCTCTGTACCCCAACATGCCCCCTGTGTCCCTGTCACAGCACAGATCCAACCACATCACATTTGCTTACATATTTTCCCTACCTGACTGGTCTCCTTGGATCCCCAAGGCCGAGCACATAATGCTCAAAATGTTTACAGAAATAGTAACATCTACTGCACTAGGGCCATGCTTTTTAAACCAGGAGCACTGTGGGATTATGCAAAGCCACAAGATGAATGAAGCGCTTCTTCCTGGAGGTTAAGCTTAAAACGTTTTATTAAAACGTTTTCTTATTAAAACACTTTGAGAAAGCAAAATCCACGTGGAGTTTAAAAAATAAAGTAGTATTGTGACAGGCTGGCAGCTTCCAAATTCGGGACAAGTTCCTCATCCTGTCTGCTAGAGGGCTCCTGACAAAGCTAAGAAATCCAAGAAACTCTGGACTCTATGTGCCTTACCTTTTGAGTGGCTGAAAGCACTTTATCAGGGGTCAAAGATCACCAAGCCACTTTCTAGATGAAAGGAAAAAAACAAAAAAAAAAAAACAGGCTAATCTTGCCCGAACTACTCAGAAAGTTAATGCTGAAGACAGGAAAAGAGTTCTCAAGTGTTGGCGCAGGACATGACATAATTAAGCTTTTTAAAAGGTGTTATACTTTTAAAAGCCTCGAATAATGTACTACAGCTTGTTTGAACCCATGAATCCTTTGATCTCTTCCTGGAATGGAGACCATCAACAAAGAAGCCCTCATTTCATGCCTCTCCCCTTCTTCCTTGCTTGGCTGCTTCACCGCCTGAGCAGTAAACCATTAGGGGCTCTGCGTAAACAGGAATCAGAAGTACCTCTCCTTGCCTTTCTCACAGCAGCTCTGGGTGCACACCCGAAGCCTCTAGAAGGTCAGTACGCCTGCTGGAGGTGCGGTTGTGCAACCACTGCTTCTATCTCCCCACTCCCCACCAAAAGCTTCCAACAGCCCAGAACTTTCTGAACTTTTCGCCACTCCCAGCCTTTAAGGCTCTTGGCCAACCTTGTCCCGAAGTAGGCGACGAGCGGCAGGGCAAACATCCTGAGAGGGAAGCGGTTCTTTCTACCCACAAGTGCCCTCGGGGACCGCCCCAAGACCCAGCCGGGACTGGGCAGGAGGGTCGCGGGGCGGACAGACACATTCCCCCGGCCTGGAACCACAGACCGCACTCACCTTGGCTGACGTCTCCCCGAACAGAGGTCTGTTGTCTAGGCCACTGGTGCCGTAGGTCCTGGTAGAAAAGTCCTCCATTTTGGGGCTTCTTCACTCTCAAGCCACTCAAAAGCGAGCCAGCGTTGCCTCAGGCCCGCGACTGCAAACGCCTCCCGCTCGCGGCGCACGCATAGCCCAGACCCGGGGGTCCGGAAGTGGTGGCGGCGGGCGCTCACCCCCCGGGGACACGGCCGCTGTGCCCCGGCCCCGCTCTCCTCCTCATCTCGAGTAGCTGCCGCAGGAAGTGAAAGAAAACTACAGCACGTGGCCAACTCGCCGGGACGCCCCCCAGCCGGGCAGCGCCCGCTTCCCCAAATCTCGGCCTCAGCGGGGCGCGCTGCCAGCCCCGGCCCACGTGGCCAACTCGCCGGGACGCCCCCCAGCCGGGCAGCGCCCGCTTCCCCAAATCTCGGCCTCAGCGGGGCGCGCTGCCAGCCCCGGCCGCAGCCCTCAAAGCAAATCCGTTTCCCCTCCGTCCCCATTTCCTCCCAAAGTAATTTCCCGTGTCTGCAACATTTTCCATAGGGAGCACGTACGCCTGCATCCTCCACCGGGCGGTGAAAAGTTTCGGCGGGCGAAAGCCCTCCCAGCCCCTCCCCCAGCCCTCTGCCCCGCCCCCAACTCCCGAGCGGCGGGAGAAGTGAAGTTGCCGCGCGGGGCCAGCAGCTCGCGCCCTCGGCCGGCCGGGCGCAGCCAGCCAGAGTCCCGCTTGGGCCCTGCACAGACGCCCGCCCGCCCCTCGCCCGCAGGCCAAACCTGGCGTCCCCAGCCGCCCCTCGCTGAGGAGTCTCCGCTCCACACACCCTAGCCGGATTCGGGGCCGCCGGCTTGGCGCCTGGTGGACGGGGAGGCCTTCCGCGGCGGAGGAGAGCGGGCGCGCGGGCCGGGGCTACGCTACGAGGCCCCTCAGCTCCCCCGGCCGGGACCCGCGGCCACTGTCGCAAACCGGCCCGGCCCGCCCAGACCGCGTCACGACCAAGGCCTCCAATCCCTCAGGCCGAGGCGCCGCATTGGCTGCGGCCCTTCATTTCTAGCGGTGCTAGGTGAATCCCGGTGGGGCTGTCAATCTCCGCGGCTACGCGTCCCTCGGCCTCTTGGTAATCAGCGTCTGGCTATCCCCGTGGGCAAAGCACGTTTCTGGAGATAGCTTTGCACTTTGCCGAAAGCATCTTAAAAACAATCAGCCTGCTTTAACTATCCCGGTCCTTGCACAGCTAGGGCAGAACGGGAGTCACTGGTAATTTTGATTTAGGGTTGTTTATATATGTTTGTCTTGGTTTGTTCTGTGATGGGGGTCGTGGGTTGTTTACAGAAGCAGTCGGGAGGTGATACTGCCAGGTGCTTCTTTGACTTGCCCACCCATTTGTCCAGTGATGGTACTAACATGTTTGCTGCTGCGGATCCAGTGCTTCGCATGTCAACTTCTCTGGGTTTTAGCGCAGAGAACTAGAGGCAGACAGACCATAAAGGTAACAGCGTTGCTTTGCATTTGGAGGCATTTATAAATATTCGGAAACACGGCCACGCTGGATTCTCAGGACACTATATAGCGCCTAGATAGAAGCTCTGAAGACGTTTGTGTTCAGGTAGAGTCTGAGTCGGAACATTTTAGTCATACAGCACTTAGAATCCAAGCCATGATTCAAAGTGGTCACTCAACAGTTTAGGACAAGAGATTAGAACAAGGAATGGAGGAAGAATCACATAAATATATAGATTTGGAATTTGCAACAGTCAGTAGAATTAGGTACGGTGCACATCTGATCTACCAGTTATATATTTTACAAGTGATCTTCTCTTTCCTCAGGACTTTTTGTTAAAACAGCAGTGCTACACAGTACTGCACCCATTTCTATTAGAAGGTTGATTCGCCCTACAAATCATAGTCAGCCACATTCAACAAAATACATTTGAGAATCTACTATGTATCTGGCAACTACCAGACAGGGTAATACTCACACAGTGATCAAGACACAGGCATGGTCATAATCTCGAAGCGGAAGTGGAAGATGGAGACACATGATTAAAATCTGGAGAAAGGAGAAGATACAGTGGCTAAGAGCACAAGCTTGGAAGTTGATCATATCTGCCATCAAACCCTGATGCCACCATCAGCAAGTGATCTCGGGCAAGTTATCTAACCTCTCTTGAACTTCTCCATATGTAAAAAGTAAAGATGATAATAATAAATGAAACTATAACATCTAACTTCAACTGGGTTTTTTTGTTTTCTTTTTGGTGGCTGGCGGGCATGGGGATCCAAACCCTTGATCTTGGTATTATAAGACTGCACTCAAACCAACTGAGCTGACCTGCCACCCCTTGACTGGTTTTTTAAAAAACATTCAATAGAGTGCTGGCTGGTTAGCTCACTTCGGAGAGTGTGGTGCTGGTAACACCAAGGTCAAAGGTTCAGATCTCCATACTAGTCAGCTGCCAAAAGATAAAAACAAATAGTGGTTGTCATAAATGGTGGCCAGTGCTGTGAACTGGACACTATGGGTGCTATGAGGATATATGGGTGGGTGCCCACTAGTTTCAGGAGGCAGGGAAAGCTTCCTTGAGAAAGCTTTCTAAGCCAAGACCCAAAAGAAGAGTATGAGTTAGCCAAGATGAAGAGGAGATGCAAGAAACCAATCAGAGAGAACAAATAGTCATTTAGGGCATATTTGAGGGGGAAGGTTGAATCATGGATAATGACCTCATTTTAAAGCTGCTTAGGGCCAAGCCCGTGGCGCACTCGGGAGAGTGCGGTGCTGGGAGCGCTTTGCCTGCCGCGGGTTCGGATCCTATATAGGGATGGCCGGTGCGCTCACTGGCTGAGCGCGGTGTGGACGGTCTCAAAAAAAAAAAAAAGCTGCTTATTCTCCTGTTTCATCTATTTTTTGGGCCTTTGCGCCATTCTTTTTCCTAAAAACCATCTTCCTCTGCTTCCTCATGATTACTACTCCCCCACAGCTTCACCTTGCGAATGGCTTTAGCTTGTTTTTGTGCTAAACTCAAGGAAAATGGACCTGACAGCTCCAGTGCCCACCACTGCTTGGCAGGCTCAGCCTCTGTTTTTCAGTTCAGATTCGCATGAGGAATTTCGATTGGCTCAGTCCGGATTATGGATATCTTGTTGCATCAGGGTCCTCCACCCACAACCAGCCAACAGGAGAGACAAGTGGAACATGGCTCCTAAGCCCCACCCCTTCAGGAGAGTGGGATAGAGGATTGTTTAAAAGATGCAGTATGTGTGGAAGTCATTGCCACTCAACATGTGGGTCTCTGGACCAGCCGCATCGGCACCACCTAATAACTTGTTAAAAATGCAGAATTTCAAGCCTCCCCCTAAATCTACTGAATCGTAATCTACATTTTAATTAATACCTAGGGGATTCATATGCACATTGAAGTTTGAAAAGCACTTGTTTCATACACCTCTATTTTTAAAAACTGGACCAATGCCATATAGTTGACCCTCCCAATACTGTGGCTTCTCAATTCTTGATATTCTTCATTCTGCTTCAGCCGTTCATTCCCATTTCACATTCTGGACTTTGTCAGCATCCAGAATTTTACCAATGTCCAAAGTAAGGCAGACCATTTGGTAAGCCTTATCCTCCAATTCTCTCACTCATGAGCTTCTCTCTTATGGCTAATATATCATTCTTTTGGCCACTTTAGTGTCTCTGATCCTTTGGTCTCTTGACTTTCTCCTGGTGGTTCTACTTCCCCATTATCACTTTATTCCAATTTAGATTCTATGTTTTATCACTGCTCTTGTTCTTTTGATAATATTTTCAGTTTCTTTGCCCCATTTATTTTATCACATCTTTATTTTGTCACATCAAGAAAGTCCCTTAAGATATTAATCCTTCTTCATTCTCAACACCTGTGACCCGTCTAGTGCAGCTGGAAGAAAAAAATCATAAATGCCCTTGATTGGAGTAATCTTAAATTGAGGGCAGCCAACAACAACTGTGCCCTTAGAACCATCTAGAAGTCCTGTGTTGCTTGGGCACCTGTGTCTTATGTTGTTTACTTTCTTCAGACTCTGGTCCCTCCCCACGTCTCCCTTACTCTCAGCAGATGACTAAGCCACCTACTTCACGTGGAAGAACAGAAGCCATCGGATGGGAATTCTCTCAACTCCCCAACAAGCCTATTCATCTACATCCACCCTTTTCCATTACTCCTTCCCTCCAATTAGAATGAAAGAGAGGCCTGTCCATCTCTCATATTTTACATCCCATTGCATCCCAGAGGTCTCATTATTCTGATTATATTTTTTCTATGAAAAGCATCTAAACATGCTCAGTTCCAGCCATGTTAAAAACAGCAAAAAACTTGCATTGAGGGCTGGCTGGTTAGCTCACTTGGTTAGAGCATTATGGTGATAATACCAAGGTCAAGGGTTTGGACCCCAGATCCCTGGATCTACCCCCCATCTCTCAACCCCCAGCCCATAAGGCCAGCTGTCCAGCTAGGGCTGGGTCTGGAGCTCACAGACCCCTCAAGCCCATTGTCCAGACTGGGTCACAAACCCTTTATATGCCAGGCTGGGTCCCCAGACCCCTCACACGCAGGTCTATGAGCTAGGTAACTGGCAAAAAGATCCTCCGAGCCGTAGGCTGGAGAGCACGGCTGTGTGGGGCGGATGCCTGAGGCAGTAAATGCCAGACAAGTGGCAGTGCCACGCGTGTGTACTAACTCCACCCACACACAACTTATTTACAAAGAATATGCCACACCACACCCAACCGGACCTAAGGTGAAGGGGGCTGATTAAATTATTCTATTTTCCCAACAATCCACCCCTTCAGGGTCCCTTGCAGTAAAATCTACATGTTCAGAATATTCTGCTATGTTCCCTTAGCAAGGATAAGTGACCCTTACATTTACATAACCTACTGTCTATTCAATATGCCTTAAGGCTTGTAGTTCTTTCCTTTTAACTATTAGCCACATACGTCCAGTTAGTAGTCATCATTGGTGTGATTTTCCATGAGAATCCTGCAGTCATACTCATGGGAAGTTCAATGCACATTCACTAGGCTGACACATTGATCACGCGACTGTGGTGCAGTGCCTACAGCCAGAACACTATGGGCGAAAAGACAGAAGAGTTATTGGTACTAATAGGGGAAGTTCTTGCCCCTCTGGTAAGATACATGCCAGTTTGCCATCCTGAGAAAGGATGGTTGCAGGAATAGGTATCTTACCTGGCTTATGATACCATACTTTATCTGCTAACACTGTTAGATCTGTAGGTTCTACATGTAACAGTATAGGGGAACTCATAATTGGCTGTAATGATAACACAAATGTGCCGTTTGGAATAGAGTGCTTATCTGTTCTGGGCAATGTTACCTTTATTCGAGGAGGCCAGATACTTGTCACCCAAGGTGAAACTTGCAAGCCTTCCTCTAATCCTTTTCCCCAAGGCCCTATTAGATGTACCCAGCATATATAGAGGGCTTTTATTCTCCAAGGCCATTCCCATTGTACTGTCTGTCCCTGTTGCAAACAAGTTGGGGTTGGTAAGAGAATATTTCCATTCTTGCCATATCCTGGGCTTCAAAAGCTTATCTTTAGTGGTGATTTGCAGCTGCATAGGTCCTGCAGCCCTATGCAACAGAGCTTCCACTGGAGAGGGTCCACCCTTGCGGGGTCTCTCATTGAGAATTCTGACTATTGGCCATAATCACCATGTCCACCCCTTCAGGGATGGGGGTTGGGTAGATAGCCTTAGTCCCTTTTTTAAAAGACCATTGTACTGTTCAATCATTCCCGCTGCCTGGGGATGATATGGCACATGTAACTTCCACTGAATGGACAACTGGGAGGCCCACCTCTGAACCCCTCGTCCAGTAAAGTGGGTTC